TTTGGTTAACAATTTGAAGGTTCTAAGTTTTACTCCTACGGTAATAAATAAAATTGTTGAAGCACTTTGTGGAAAACTCGTTATTTAAATATTTAAAAAAATATCAACATGAAAGTGATCTTTTATGAATATAATATAAATACAAATTTAAATTTTGATTATTTTCAGTAATTGTAATATTATATTCGAAACCATGCTAAAAATATAATGACTTCAAAAATGTGATTATTTTTACAATAAATAATTTCACATCTTCATCTTCATCTTCTTCACCTATTCATCTCTTATCTCTTCACATTTTTCTTCATATTACATATTATATAATTATTAGAAAATAACAGTAAAAAATAATTGATAAAAAAATTAATAACAGTGTGTTTGGTACACATGACCGGTTAGAGATTTATGTTTCATGTTTGGCATGACTTTTATGTGAAACAGACAGGAACAGAATGAAACAAAAATGGAACAAGGTGGAACAGACTTATATTTATTAATTTATGTAATTTATTGTATATTAATAATAAAAAATAATGTAGAAAAGAGATAAAATAAAAATTAGAAACCACATAAACTTTTTATTTGATATCATTTTAATTGTTTTGACGAAAATTTTCTAATGATATATTTTGTTATAAAAAATAATTATTCTATTAGAATTTAATAAATTACATAAATTAATCAAAATAAACAACTCATTAGGGGTAAATTAGTCATTTTACTTGTTTTGTTATGTCCAGTTTTATCTTACCAAATGTTGAATAGTTGTTCTATCTTGTCATGTTTTGTTTTATCATGTCATGTCTTATCATGTATGGATACCAAACACACCCTAAAAAAATTAAAATTACAAGATGATCGTGCCAATCTTTACAAGATGATGTATTTTGGACGAAACTTAATTTATCATCGTGTCAATCTTTACAAGATGATAATATTGGTTATGAAGATGAAGTCCAAATGTTTACCGATGAATTTAACAAACAACCGAAATATGGTAAGTTTAGTTTTCTAAGGAAGATAAAAGAGATAACCAATGCATCAAAAACATGGGTTCGTGAACCAGTTGTTAACAAGACTACTCGTGGACGTCACTCGTTGAAGGATAAACTTTTCATAAAACTTCATGTTGATCCGTCTTTTACAGCTAAGGATGATCCGTCTTTTACAACTCATGTTGATCCGTCTTTTACAGCTAAGGATGATCCGTGACGTAGTTGTTAGAATAAGTGAAAATGTAATATAAATCATGTTATGTCTTATTTATATTTCAAATCTCATTTTTTTTGTGTTTTATTTTTATAATTATATAA